TATTTATCTTTCTGACACTGGCTTTAGCATAATGCTCTTCAGGGCTCATGCATGCTGTTGCGAATGGTAAGAGTTCCTTCCTACTTTCAGCAGTATAGTATTCCTCTGTGTAGATGTACCACAGTTTCTTAACTCACTCGTCTGCTGATGGGCACAAAGGCTGCTAACAACTCTTAGCTATTGTATATTTGTGCTGCTATAAACATAGGCGTGCATATACCCTTTATGAGTGGCGTTTCTAGTTTCTTGGGATATACTAGTATTCCTAGAAGTGGGATCACTGGGTCAAATGAGGAGTTCTATTTTTAGTTTGGTAAGGAAACTCCATACTGTTCTCCAAAGTGGCTTGTACTTTCTTTTGTTAAAGAATATGGAAGTTTGTGGGGTTTCTTTTTTTTTTTTTTTTTTATATATTTTTATGATTTCAGAGAGGGAGAGAGAGATAGAAACATCAATGATGAGACAGAATTACTACTTGGCTGCCTCCTGCATGTCTCACGCTGGGGATGGAGGCCACAACCCGGGCATGTGCCCTGAACGGGAATCGAACTGTGACCTCCTGGTTCATAAGTTGGTGCTCAAACACTGAGCCACGCCAGCCACGCAGCACAGTGATTCTTATCTTTCTGGTCACTGCTGGTTCCCCAGCTCCTGGAACTGTGTAGGTACTGGGGTTATTAGTTGACTGAAGAAATGAACAGGTAGGCAAAGCGAGAAAAATTAAGAAGTCCACCCATCTGGTTTCCCCATAGAGGAAGGGAGTAACAATGGGAATAACACTGGCTTTCTTTCCACAGGTTTCAGCCTGGGATGACCGCCGGGTAGAAGGCACGTTTCCTGGGAAGATCTGAACTGGGCATCCTCCATCCTTTTCCCAGGGGCGTGAAGGGGGGCCTGGGTACATCCCACCCTAGAATCCTGAATCATGGCTTAACTAATAATAAATACTTGTTGGAAAAATGTAAGACTGTGTGTGTGTAAAAGAGCTGGATTACTGGGCAAGAACCTGGGTTGGAAATAGTACCTGGACAAGTAAGAGGGGCTTCAGAGTGAGTATTTTTTAATTTTGTTTTGTTTTTAATTTTGTTCTTTCAAAATTTGTCCACCTTCTCTGTGCCAGACAGTAGAATGAATGATTATATGAAATAGCCTTAAGCACCTGTATATGCTGAAGTTTATGTGTATGTTCCCTTAATTGTC